TAATAATAGAACCCTTGGTGAGTAGCTAAAAACTTAAACAATTGAAATGATAATAGTTAAATATGTCCCATGTTAGCTAGCCAATGTTCACAAATACTTGAGTACTTACTAATTTTTTTCTTTGTCATGATGTACCTAAGTAATGAGTGGTCAATGTTACCAAAGAAAAGAATCTTGTACACATGCTAGGTAGTGTAGACAACATTATTCAAACTAGTAATTAATTAGGCTTAATTAATTAGCCTTGCCTTGTTAGGTTCAACTACATAATTATTATTATTGTAATAAACAGGAATTAATACACTACTTTGCCTCCTCTATAGTGTAATACTAGTTGTATCTAATTTGCCCATGCTTAATTAGGTCAACTCCCGAGTTTAATAGGTATATAGCTAGCATCAACAAATGAGATGGCGACCTCTTACTCGAAGGATTAATACGATTCAAAGATGCATAATTATCGACCCCTTAGTAATTATTGTTCTTCTTTGGTTAATATGCATTGCTTATTAGTAATAAGAAAAGGAAAATCAAGATTTATTGATATTATAAAACGTTAAAATATTTAATCGTAATTATTAAATATATGAATTATAATATAAATTTTAATTTTATCAAATTTATTATGTAATTATTATTAGATATTTTGATATTAAAAATATCAATACATCTTAATTTTTTCTCTTTCCATTATTAATACGGTTAAAAAAATATAAGAGTTAAATTCCTCAATAAAAAATGCATAATCTACAGGACCTAAACCAGATAGAGAGGGAATTAATTTTAATTAAGTGGGAACAAAACATAAAAGGGCTTAAATGATTACAAAGGAAGAGATTTGATCAAGACAAATGGCCTAATTAAGGTTGAAAATAAGTTTAACCAATTCTAAGGCATTGATCAATAAGAGCTAAATTCTACTTAAGTTTGAGTAACAAATGAATTAGAACTTAAGATGAATATTAAACTCGATTTTTCTATCAAGTTACTCATAATTTACATAATTAAAAAATATATAAATTATATTATATTGTAAGATTTATCTAACTTGTGCCTCCTAAAGGTAGAAGTTAAGGACGTAATTAATATATCCTTTTAATACTTTCTTTGTTTTACATTATCTGTCATTTTAAGCTTTTGCATACTTGTTAAGAAAGTAATTTATTACTCCTAACTTTAGGGATATATAAGATTAAAGTACTATTTTACCCTTTTAATAGAAATGAGAAAAAAAGGCAGATGAATCTGTGGAGGAGTACATTTTACAAGAGAATGGCAAATTTGAAAAAAAAAGTAATTAATATGACATTAATATCCTAAAATGTCAATTATTTAGGAACAAAAATTTCTTTCCACAACG